GCTGTGTCTTTCTCTGTCAAATAAATAAATAAATAAATAAATAAAGATACCACATGGGCTGGACACCACATGTCACCCTGGCAAGAGCACCACCATCTACCTTGTGGCCATTTGTCCTTTTCCCATGACTCCCCCCACCCCAGCCATATCCAAGTTATCTCAGAGTCTTGCACTTTTACCTCCTAGTTAGACCTCAAATCCATCTCCTTTGTGCCACTTCTGTAAGTTGCCAGATTTAGCAAATAAAAATACAGAACTCCCAGTTAAATTTGAATTTCAAATAAAAAACATAATTTTTAGTATAATTATGCCTCATGTGTCCGTTCTGTCCTCCCTTTCTAAAAGGACCCCGATTTCTACTCCAACCCACACTGTACCCAAAGAAAAGAACACATTTCTAACCAGATGATCTGAGCCATGTGCACACCATCACCACTGAAAACTGCCCCCACCTCGTTCCCCTATTTGGTGGAGACCAACGCATTTCCTCAGAAGACAAATCATTGGGATATTTGGCTTCTCATTTGATATGAGGCTGGGTCCCTCCATGCACCTTAAGAAATGTTTACTTCTCACATATGTATTTCTTACAAAGTCCAGGTTTGAGAGCCGCAGTGTTGGCTCCTCAAGTCAATAAGGGCCCCCTCATCCCCAGGGTAAGCTCACACCATAATCCTTCCTAGAGTTCCCCAGCATTGGAAGGACACCAAATGGGCTCCCGTGTCATTTCCCAGAGCCTACTGGGAACCTAGCCAGTAGACCCCCTAAGAGGTGCACCATCCCACATCAAGCCCGTTGCTAAGTTTCAGGTCAAGGCATCACTCTGTCCTGATTTTCCAGCCTCTCAGTCACTGGCATAATCTGGAGGAGCTCCAGCTCTAACATACTTCAGCAAGTCAAATCCTATAAACAAGGCTTTTATCCGCCCAGCTTTTGAGGGCTAAATGCCTAAGAGCAAAAGGAAATGATCTAATCAAACTGGGTACCTCATACTGGAAACGTAGACAATGAAAGGAATTATACAGAATATTCATAAATCGTGTGTGGAATTGTAAAGGTTTAACATTCTAAAATCTTAACATTTTGACAACTGAGAGTGCAGAGACTATAGAAACAGCCTTGGAATGGTCTTCAGTTAGCTTATTTGGACTTCAGAGCCACTAGCACTAAACAGAACATTCCCGCCAGGCCACAGGAGCCAGTTTTCATTTTTCCCAGGATCTGAAATTAGAATACCTTGTGTACAACGTCAGGTTGTTACTCTAGTGCATTTACTTGGAAATGTCACGTACAGGTTGTTTCTATTAAGCCTTCAAGCTGCAGTTATTTAAGGAAATGAACACACGCACACACCCACATGCACACCTGCACACACATGCAGGACCTAAAGTGAGGGGAAGGGGAACTTCACACCTTAAAAGGTCCAACATTTTTGAGCCTAGAAAGGACGACTGGAAAAGCTAGGACACCCACATAGTTTTGCCACTTGGCCATTTGTTCTATGCCTTAGTCTCCCCAAAAGATGCATGCACATGCATTTATGTCCTGCCCAAAGTTAGCAATGGAACTCCTCACCTGCCGGCTGTTGGCAATGCCAAGGAGTCTAAGACCTGGCCACTGAGATGTGCCCACAGAGCACCCCAAATCCAGTGAAAATTGCCCTGATTTCCAGGAGATGGAATGTAGCGCTACAACTCCAGGAGGTCTATTATTCAATAGTTTTCTTTTTTAATCCTATCTACTTTGGTTTAGAGCCGCGTGTAGGAATTATATAGACCTCTTTGAAATCTAGAGGCTGCTATTCATCTTCTGAAACTGTACTTTGGTTCTTTTTCTTAATACCTTTGCTGTGTAGGACTTCTTCCCTCCAAAACACCAGAGTCCCCTCTGAGAGCAGTTTCCTGTTCCACTTAGATAATCCCATCTGGAAATTCCTGCAGAATCACTTTTTGCATTTATATTGTGTTCTCCATTATGCATCCACACGGGTGGTCGCAACTGACTTTTTTATATTTTAACTCATAGAAGCACAAAAAATTATTTTTTTCAGGAGTGGATGTATTTGAGAAAATCTGTTGGCAACCTCTTCTTTCCTTTCCTAAATTGTTTGGTTTTATTTTCTTTTCTGGATTTTGTTAGGGGTGAGCTTTGTGTCCCAGGGGCAAGAGAATCAGCACAGAGGCATGTTGATGTCAACCCAAGGAGTGGTCAGACACAGTTGCTGGTGGTATGACCATCATGTTCTCTGTTAGTAGGTCCAAAGGCCAGTATGAAGAGAACACAGAATGTACTGTGTTCTAAACCTGCTTCATTTACTTCGGCTATGGCTAGAAATAATGCTTTGACAGGGAAAGAAACCATATCTGTGTCTTGGGCATTTTGAGTGTCAGTCTGGGCCCCAGTTCTCTCTTTCCATTTTGAGGTTTGGGGAGACCAGACCTGCAGCCCTCATTAGCCAACCAGCGAAGTCTCCTCAGTAGAGGAGATTGGCTACGAAGATGCTGAGTCACTGGCTTGACTGCGGAGGGTCATAGCCTGACTGTGTATACAGTTGGCTTTTGTTCCCATCTTTTTCTCCAAATATTTGCTTCTTGCCTGATTGATGAAAGGCCTTAAGACTCAGGACTGGGGGACGCCTGGGTGGCTCAGTCAGTTAAGCGTCCGCCTTCGGCTCAGGTCATGATCCCAGGGTCCTGGGATCGAGTCCCGCATCGGGCTCCCTGCTCCGCGGGGAGTCTGCTTCTTCCTCTGCCTCTGTCTCTCTCTCTGTCTCTCATGAATAAATAAATAAAATCTTTAAAAAAAAAAAAAGACTCAGGACTGGGTCCTCATTGAGCTTCAGTCCTGCATGGCTGGGTGGACAAATGCTACAGAAATGGGGAATGGAGTTGCAGGAGGATGGTATGAATTACCTGTGCAGATCTAGCCTTCACATTTTTCCAACACGTACCAAGTGAATAGTAGAGAAAATCTCAAATAGTATTAATAAAATGAGAACAATTTTACCAAATTAATGAAAGCTCTGTGTCTGCATTTTACCATTGATTTGAGAGCATCTTTCGAAAAGTAAATTTAACTGAGTAAAACTGAAGGTGGGCTATCTACCAGTAGAACTGCATCAATGTTAACTTCCCTGAATTCAATATTTGTATTGCAACTGTTGGAGAAGATCCCTGACCTTAGGAGATACATTCTGAAGTATATAGCATGTAGGAGTAAAGGGTTATGATGTCGGCCACTCACTCTCAAATAATTCCACAAAATAATAAGAGTAATGAAAGAGAGAGAAAGAATGCACAAAGTTTGACAAATGTTAACAATTGTAGATTCTGGGTGAAGGATACGTAGGTATTTGTTCATTGTATGAGTCTCATGACTTTTCTGTAAAGTTTGAAAGTTTTTCAAAATATAAAGTTAAAAAGAGCAAAGCACAGTGATTACTCATCAAAGGCAAACATTTGATTTAGAGCAGTCACACTGACAGAAGCAATCAATTGAAAGAGGCTCTCCAGACTACAGTCAGTACATGCTCTATGGGCCTGTGTCTGTTCAGGATCGTCTTGCAGAATCCAAAGAACCTGTGGATAGAGGCACGGAGTTAAAGGCTGTGCTCTGTTACAAGACTAACAGTGCTCAACCAACATACTCAACCAGCAATGCGTGGCCGTGACATAGGCCCAAGGAACCACGTTGGGGCAAAGGACACCATCCACTCCGGGAGAGGCTTTGTCTTCTCTCCTCTCCACTGCGAAGCCTCTCAAAAGCCTGCTCTTCTGTGCTTGCCTCCAGTTTTTATACTATTCTTTGAGGGTTCTTTAACCCACCAGGAAGGAGTAAACCGTGCATCAAGGGGGATGCTGGTTGCCAATTGTCAAGGTCCTCAACCTCTCTTATCTCATTCTGCAGCTTGTTGGCCTTCTCCTTCACCCAGAAAGGCAAGCTGTGGAAAGAAAACAACAGCTGAGTTTGAGTTTGTCTGCTGCGAAATGTACAAACACCTTCAAGGGATATGGTACTGCATCCTCAAAAGTAAGAAGGCCTCCAATTTAGGAGACCAGTGACGAAATAAAACACCATGTTAGTTGTTCAGCATTCCCCTCTCTCCCAAACCCAGACCTCTTTTCTGCCCTTCTCTGCCCAGAGAGCTGACCCCTGAAACTTGCATCACCTTGACCCCACCATGTGCCCCTAACACATTGGAGGCACCAGCAGGAGACCAGAAAGCAAGCAGAGGTTGGGGTATTTCTCACCTAGCTCTTCTACTCCCGCTCATCTCCTGAGGTACCCCAGTTCTGGCCACAGCTGCACTCTCCACTGCCACAACCCCTTCTGGACAGCCCTTCTCCATTTCCCACCAAGCTGGGCAACAAGATCACTCTTCTTGCTGTTCAGACCTGGGAGTGGTAATAGCTGCCCACTGGAGAGAGCCTCAGGGGGGCTTCGCCCTTCCCTATAATTTCCCTTGACCTGTTCACTCATCTGTAAACAGTCCTTTCATTAAGCTCTCTTCAGAATCCCACCTGAGTGTGCCTTCTGTTGTTTTGCTGTGGCCTCAGCTAATGCAGACCCCCGGCACCCTCCCAAGTCTGCAGAGATGTGAAAGGACATATGCTGGACTATACTGTGTATGTTCCAAGAGGTACCAGGAATTGTGTGACTCCTGGGATGAGTCAGAGAAAAGAGATGAAGAATCTTTTCCTCTTTTGGCAGCTACAATTTTCATACATTTGGGGAGAAATGCACCATGATTGGGAAGAATACCCTGATAAATCTGCTAGGGATGGGGAAGTCCCTGCAGGAAGGAAAAGGGATTACCACATAGGTAATAGGTGGGAGTCAAGGATATCATGTAAAGCTGACAAACCAATAGCAGAAGCCCAAATAAGACCAGCAGGACCTTATTTGGGCAATATAGAAGATACTAGCATAAAAAGGAATCACTAGAACAAAACCACAAGCATTCCTTAAGATCAAAAGAAATCATTTTTTTAACTTTTGTTGAAGCAATCAAAGAAAACAGACTCATGGTAAAAATAATATAATACACATAATAAGTGTAACAAAATATTATGATAGAATTGAAATCAAATCATTAATTCAAATGATCTTAATTCACCTATTTTTTTAAAGATTTATTTTTTTATTTTAGAGAGAGAGTGCATGCGTGCGCACGTGAGTGGGGGGAGGGGCAGAGGGAGAGAGAATTTCAAGCAGACTCCCCAGTTAGCGCGGAGCTCTGTCTCACAACCCCGAGATCATGGCCTGAGCCGAAATCGAGAGTCTTGGATGCTTAAGTGACTGAGCCACCCAGGCGCCCCTTCATTCAGTTATTAAACAATTTTCAAAAAAAAAAAGAAAAAAGAAAACAATTTTCAGTTTGGCTCACAAAAGCAAAATCCAACTCTGTGTGTAAAAGACAGACCTAAAACAAAGTGATTTGAAAGTCTAAAAACAAAAGAATGGGTAAAGGTATATTAGTCAAATGCAAACAAAACAAAGTAAGAATTATAATCTGAATATCTGGCAATGTATAATACAGGACAAAAAGCATTAAATGAGAAAAAGAAGATTTTTAAAAATTTTAATTCCAGTGCAGTTTACAGTGTTATATTTGTTTCAGGTGTACAATATAGTGATTCAACAATTCTATACATTACTCAGTGCTCATCATGACAGGTGCACTCCTTAATCCCCATCACCTGTTTCACTCCATCTCCCCCCACCCACCTCCCCTCTGGTAACCACCAGTTTGTTCTCTACAGTTAAGAGTCTGGTTTTGGTTTGTCGAAAAAGAAGACATTTTTTTTTTTTTTTAAGAACATTCCTTCTTTTTTTTTTAAAGATTTTATTTATTTATTTATTTGAGAGAGAGAGAGAGAGAAACAGCATGAGAGGGGATAGGGTCAGAGGGAGAAGCAGGCTCTCCGCCGAGCCAGGAGCCCGATGTGGGACTCGATCCCAGGACTCCAGGATCATGACCTGAGCCGAAGGCAGTCGCTTAACCAACTGAGCCACCCAGGCGCCCAAGAAGACATTTTTATAATGTTAATGGCTACAGTTAACAATAAAGATAGAAATACATTAACAGACCCATTTTCAGTCCAAGCTAGGCCAAATGAACAATTTTAATCAAAATGATAAATCTGGAGTGCCTGGGTGGCTCAGTCGATTAAGCATCCAACTCTTGGTTTTAGGTCAGGTCATGATCTCTCAGTCATGAGATCAAGACCCGCATTGGGCTCTGCCCTGAGTGCAGAGTCTGCTTCAGATTCTCTTTCCCTCTCCCTCTCCCTCTCCCTCCCACTTACACACTCTCCCTCTCTCTCGTGCACAATAAATGAATAAATAAAATCTTTTAAAAAACCCAAAAAGGTAAATCTTCTGGGTATGTATCTAACTTTGCATCCTGATGAAGTAGACACACCTTCAAAGGTATGTAGAGACAGTCCCCAAATTGAGTATGTATTAGGTCACAATGAAAAGTTGGTAAGTTCCATAAAATAAAAATAATAAAAACAATATTTTCTGGTCATTAGGTGATAAAAGTAAAAATGAATTACAAAATAAAAATCAAAAGCCTCTTCCACTCGGAAATTTTAAATCTATTAAGTAATTCTTTAGCCGAAAGGAAGAGACCAACACAAACTGCAGAATTCTTTAAAAAATAAGGATAATCTGGGGTGCCTGGGTAGCTCAGTCGGTTAAATGTCCAACTCTTAATTTTGGCTCAGTCATGATCTCATATATGAGGCTAATCTACACATCAAAATTTACAACATATAAGCAAAGCAGTGGACAGAGGCACTTTCATAACCTTCAGTATAGATATTAAGAAAAATTAAAGAATTTAAAAATGAATTAAACATCCCATTCAAAAAATAGAAAAAGAGGGGCACCTGGCTGGCTCAGTCAGTAGAGCATGCAACTCTTGATCTAGGGGTCATGAGTTCAAGCCCCACATTAGGCATAGTGATTATTTAAAAAAAAAATAGAGGGGCTGGGGCACCTGGGTGGCTCAGTCGTTAAGCGTCTGCCTTGGGCTCAGGTCGGGATCCCAGGGTCCTGGGATTGAGCCCAGCATCGGGTTCCCTGCTCAGCAGGGAGTCTGCTTCTCCCTCTCCCTCTGCACCTCCCCGTGTGTGTGCGAGCACTCTCTCTCTCTCTCAAATAAATAAAATCATTAAAATTAGTAAATAAATAAAAAAATTTTTTAAAGCTCTTACTTTCATTGATTTTTTTCTATTATCTTTTTAGTCTCTATTTCATTTATTTCCCCTCTGGTTTTTGTTATTTCCTTCCTTCTATCAACTTTGGGTTTAGTTTGTTCTTCTTTTTCTAGTTCCTTGAGGTGTAAAGTTAGGTTGTTCATTTGATATCTTTCTTTTTTCTTAACATAGGCATTTATTACTATAAACTTCTCTTTTAAACCTGCTTTTGCTGCATACCATAAGTTTTGATATGTTGTATTTCCATTTTTATTTGTCTGAAAGTATTTTTTATTCCTCTTTTTACTTCTTCTTTGACCCATTGGTTGCTCAGGAGCATGTTTAGTCTTCATTATATTTGTGAATCTTCCAGATTTCCTCTTGTAATTGATTTCTATTTTCACACCATCATGGTCACAAAAGATACTTGATACGATTTCCGTCTTCTTAAATGTATAAAGACTTAGTTTGTGCCCTGGCAATTACTTTTATTTTAAATATTCTAGAAGAGTGTTTACAAAAAGTGTACAGTACAGACATGAGAGGCCCCAATTATGTGCCTCAAGTAATAATGCAGTATCATGAAGGTATTAAAGCTCCCAGGTTTGGAATAAAAGGCTTTTATTTCCACTGAGCTCCAGGGTTTGGTCTCCCAGCTGGACTCTGGTGGGTCAGACAGTGGGTCACTTGCCCACTCTAGCCATACTTATGTGAGACTGTTTTGTATTAGAAAGTGAAATTTTTGGGCGCGTGGGTGGCTCAGTTGGTTAAGCGACTGCCTTCGGCTCAGGTCATGATCCTGGAGTCCCGGGATCGAGTCCTGCATCGGGCTCCCTGCTCAGCTGGGAGTCTGCTTCTCCCTCTCCCTCTGCCCCTACCTCCCCACTTGTGCTCTCTCTCTCTCTCTCAAATAAATAAATAATTTTTTTTAAAAAGTGAAATTATTTTAAGATTTATTTATTTATTTGAGAGAGAGAGAGAAAGCACACACACACAAGCAGGGAAGGGGAAAAGGGAGGAGTAGAGGAAGACAAACAGACTCCCACTGAGCAGGGAGCCTGACGCAGGCTCAATCCCAGGACCCTGAGATCATCACCCAAGCCAAAATCAAGAGTCTGTCGTCTAACCCACTGAACCACCCGGGAACCCCTGGAAAGTGAAATTTTTTATACTGACACATATCATTTTCTAGGTCTAAACCCTACTTGGGCAAATAAATGAGGTTCAGAATGGAGCTGAACTTAAAATATGAGATCAGAGGGATGTTACTTCCCTCAAGCATTCCGATGGCTTTTTCTCTGCCTCTTCAAGCTCTAACCATCCTCCCTGGTTGCACTCATTTAAGCATGGGTCTTTCTTTTCCAACAGCGCTTGGGTTTTGGAAATCAGGGACCCTGTCTTTTTGCTCCATATAAACCCCCCACAGTGCATACCTAGCACAACACAGGGCCTCTGGCGGGCTGTCCATCTTATCGGCCGAAGATGTGGGCGACCCAGCTGCCAGACTCCACAGCACTTGCCCTCCAAGTGTCTCACCAAAAACCCTCCATACACACTGTCCCACCTGCTGGGATACCAAAGGTCCCTCTCTGCTGGGTGTCTCTGAGCTCCTCCACCGAGAAACCTGTAAATAACCAATAACTTCATAAAGATCGGATAATATGAAAACATAGTAAGAGAACTCACGTAGGAATTTGTGGAAGAGGCTCAAGTGGAATAAAAGTATCGTATTTCTTTTCATAAGGCACTCTGAAAAACAGAACAGACAACTGTATGATTGGTATGGCTTCTACAGCAGAGAGATCAATGCATCATCATATTCAAGAAAATGTCTTATTTTCTGGTTTTAATGGGCACCTAGGGGCTTCACAACTGTAAAGGTCATAATTCTTATTATAATTTTTACTAAACATCATTAAACCAAACATGAGTAATTTTTTAAAATATTAATGTAATATACCAACTATATTTCTTTTAACTTAATGAACCTCCCTTTCTCCTCAACCGCTTTGGTCTAAGTTTAGTTCCAAGTGTACATCAATCCAAACAATAGTCACCAATAACCTGATTCAGTATGAAACTGAAAAGTCTTCAGATTTGTGGTAACAACGATTAGGACAAAATTAACAACCTCCTTTTTGTAGTCAAGATCCTGTGTATAATTTCAATTACACACACGCATGTGTGTGGACACTAAGGAACTAGAGATGAACGGTTTTTTTTAAAGATTTTATTTATTTGTCAGAGAGAGAGAGTATAAGCATGGGGAGCGGCAGGCAGAGGGAGAAGCAGGCTCCCCTGAGCAGGGTGCCCGACACGGGATCGATCCCAGGACACTTAACCAACTGAGCCATCCAGGCATCCCTAGAGAGGAACTTTTTTAGGAATTGTCAGCAACCATGTTTTGTTGGAATCTACTCCTTATGAAATATAACATATATAGTACAGAGAGATACAATTCCTTTAAAATTAACAAACTAACCCTACTATTCACATACACTTACATGGAGAAATTCACTGGTGGGAGAGTTGATCCTGCTTTGTGGAAGTCTTTACTCTGTTCTGGGTACATATATGGATTATCTCCTGGAGTTAACTTTGGTATTCCATTCCTAGGATCAATATCTGTGAAAGATATTTAAAAACAAGATCATAAAAAGGACTGAAGGTAATCCAAAGATAGGCTCTATCGATATGCCAATGGAAACTAGATAATTTCATGTTTTATTATGAAGTACATATTATTATTATGTTTGTGATTGTCTTGCCTTGAGAAGATGAAAAGTGTGCTTGAAACGCTGTGTTTGGGAGATTTTCCAGAAAGTGTCATGATTACCCCACCCTGGGAAATAAGAATAGCTTAGGTTCAGAGGGGATGTTTTGGTTTAAAGTGAATGGTGAATCAAAGGTATCTGCAAAGGATATGCAAGAAGTCTGCTTAAAATCTGAGCATTGGTGCACTTTGAATCCCTGTGCCCTATAAAGCTTAAGAAACAACCGTAATTGGGTCCTTCTCTCTGACTGGATCTCAGAAGGAAATTAGCGAATGAGGAAGAGCTACAGAAGAGAAAAATTATATTTTCAGGTCAACTTCACTACAACCTATAACCACAGACAACATTTTGTTCTTCCTTCTATGACGACAAATTAGGCCTTTAAGGAACTCCACCAATGGCCTGATTGTAACTAATGTGTTAGAGTCAACCATTAATGAGACATATTTTGATTGTTTTTTTCCTATAATAAAGGTGTTGAATTTCAGTTCATAATGGAAGCTGACTGGCAGTCATGATGCTGCCTCTCCATCTTATCCAAGAAATAACAAGAGAGAAGAGAATGTCACGAAAGAAGAAATGCCCCGTGCCAAGCTTAACAGTATCGAGTGCCACAAGAGATTGAGGAAGAGAAAAAAATGGAAAAAGACCATCGTATTCAGGGTTTAAAGAAGTCATTGCACATCACCTAAGAAGTAATCACACTAAAACGAATCAAGCCTATAGGTCCAACTATCAGTTTACAAGAAATACATAGGACAGAGAAACCTGTTAAATGGTACCAAGGGGTATAATCAGCAAAATCCTGACTGTGGCAAACTCTACAGGATACATGACCTAGTTTCTTTTTTTTTTTTTAAGATTTTATTTCATTATTTGAGAGAGAGAGTGGGTGAGTGAGAGAGCACACACGGGGGGAGCAGCAGAGGGTGAGGGAGAAGCAGGCTCTCCACCGAACCGGGAGCCCAATGTAGGACTCGATCCCAGGACCCTGAGATCATGACCTGAGCTGAAGGCAGATGCCCAACCAACTGAGCCACCCAGGTGCCCATGACCTAAAAAAGAGGGGGAGGACCTATAGTAAAAAGAGACTTGAGGGACGCCTGGGTGGTGCATTTTTCAGTATGTATAAAGACCATAAAGGAAGGAAAGAAGGAAGGAAGAAAAGGAAGGAAGGAAAGAACGATGGAAGGGAAATAATAATACACAAAATTCAGGATAAGTTTACCTTGAGTTAGGAGGGAAGTGACAGGTTAGGGTGAGGATTTGAGTTCATCGTGATAACCCCATTTATTGTTGATAAATACTTGCAGCTGACCCAGTTCTAGGCAGTGAGACACAGGTCCTAAGGACCATATGAGAAAATTTTCCCTTCGTTCTAAAAGGGAAAGGCAACAAGAGAGAGTCCTCTTTTTCATGTTTTGAAATATAGACGCAATGCTTGGAACTGCAACAGTTCTCTTGTGACCATAAGATGACAAGTGTGAAGACAATAATCCAACACAGTCTAAGAATAGCAGCACAGAAAGACAAAATGAGCCTCTTTGATGACATCACTGGGCAACCAGTCCATATAGGCCACCTAGATTTCAAAGCTTCTCGTTAAATATATAATAAATATTTTATTTTTTAAAAAAAGCATATAATATCTGGGGCACCTGGATGGCTCAGATGGTTAAGCATCTGCCTTCAGCTCAGGTCATGATCTCGGGGTCCTGCATCTCGAGTCCCGCATTGGGCTCCCTGCTCAGCAGGGAGTCTGCTTCTCCCTCTTCCTCTGCCACTCCCCCTGCTTGTGCTCTGTCTCTCTGTCTCTCTCTCAAATGAATAAATAAAATCTTTTTTAAAAAGCATATAATATGTTATGATTTAAGCCTCTGACAGTTTGGTTTTCGTCCTACTAGGGCCAAGAGCATTCCTAAGTACTATACAGCTAAACTTAGCCCCTTCCTGATTTTTCTCAGTTGTTTTATATTTAAATAAATCTTTCTTATTCTACCCATCTCTGTTGGGAGTGAGAAGTCAGGGTGTGCACAACAGGCTCACATATCAGGGCTTTGGTGGAAGGCTTTGGGTCCTGGGTCACCGACTGCAAACCATACTGGTATCTGACACTCACCTTATCTCTGATACTCTCTGAAGGCTGGCATTTATTTCTGTTGTCTGCTAAAATGTGTCATCTAGTCTGATCCTCAGGAAGCCAGCCCCCACCACAATGCATCAGGCGAAGCATCAATTTATTCTCCTATGATCCCTGCTTGATGGTCCCCAGCACATCATACAGTGGTCTCCCAGCATTTCAGTTGCGAGACCTGGGCAGTTCTCCCGGCTTGCTCTCTGTTTCATTCTTTCTCCGTGTCCCAACCTCCACAGTCTTCATGGAGCACAAAAATGCAGCTATTCCTCCACATCTCCTGGGTGGGTGACACCTTGACGCTGGCTTTCTGCCCAGATGTTGCCCACAGCTATCACTACCCTGCTGCTCAGTCAGAGCAGATGTCACTTGATTCTGAGGCTCAAAGTCTCGCCCTAGCCATGCTCTGAGGCTGAAACCCCAGCTAAGGTACATCTGACCACCTGCTAGATTTCGGTGTCAGGAATTGAGCAGAATGTGGGACTCCTCAAGGCTCTCCCACCTCCTCTAGCACGCCTTCTTGTGTATCCTCTATCCAAACAAAAGCCTTGATCTTCAAAACCAGTTGTCTCTACTCTGACAAGCAGCCTATTTTGAAATTCAAAATGAGAACTTTCTATTTCTTTCTGTCTGTATTCCTGCAACAGCAATCCATGAAGCAATGGCTGCCTCCCATATAGGTATTTCCAGAGAAGAATGTGCTATAATGGTCCGTTGGTACTCAGCAACCCTAGGATCTTTCCATAAACCTATTATGGGTAGGTTGGGACAGAGAACTCACCATGTTCCATATATATATATATATATATATACACTCATCTCAATTACCTTTAATTAAATAAGCTATGAAATAACAGCATGCACTTCAGGCTAAGGTCTATGGGAATATTTTCCTTTTGAAGAATATAATGTACAACTTAAATACATATGATGGGCAGCATCTAACTGAAACAAATTATTTTCTGCAGACTTGAATGAAGGTTTCTATTAATAAGTATCTGAGAGAACTTATCTGAGGACTTAAATGTCACATTAGCATTTTATGAAAATTCAGAGAAAAACAAAAATGTGGATCAGCATATGTTGTGAGTTCTTTGCCAGAAAGTGCAGTCTGCCAACCATCCCCTTCACTTTCCCATCTTCCTGGCTGTGCTAGAGTGACATGGTAACCCCAGAGGGCGGATGCCAGCCATGGAATGTTGGGCCTGCAGAACCACAGCTCAGGGAGTATTTTTAGGCATGGCACAGTCAAGGTCCAGGAGAAAAATATTACCGTATTTCTTCCTCCCAAAGCACTTGTCCACCCTTCTCTCTGACAGAGACCTCCTGTTGCCGAGGAAGACCCCATTGAAGAAACACTGCTTTCCAACATGGTAGGTGTGGATATTGCTGCTAAACCTCGGGTAAAATGTCCATTCGGGACGCTGCCCATCTTCTGCAAGACATCAGAAATCCTTCCATCAGCATTGTTTCCAGCCTCACATAATGCAATTAAATCACGGAAAAATCGTCCCAGGCATCCTCTGACTGGCCTGTACTTTATCAACATGCATAATCCCTTGGTTCTACAACTGGGGCAATGCTAACCTCTGGGGAACTAGGCCTGAAAGGAAAGGAAGTGGGGAGAAAGGTATCTAAGAAGCTTCTTTTTTTCCCTTTTTATCCTCTCATCCAAAAAATAAAGCCAATTTTACGGTTGGAAGTAATGTATGGCATGGGAAGCTCAGAGACACTTTTACAAGCACCTACGATCCAACCTTCACTCAGATAAGTGGGTAGGAAAAAGAGAATGCCCATTAGCCAGGGAGGGGCCAGGCCAACAATGGCATCTTAGCCGGATGACCCGCGGTGTTGGCAGCAACAATAGTAGACGCATCGCTAGAATGACACCGGAAAATGTCTCCATGCAACCCTGGGCAAATGACAAAGGCCCCTGCGGGACCTCAGGCAGGTTACTGGATCTGTCCGTGTCTTTGTTTCCTCATTCAGTACTTTTCCTATAAACTGTGATGTTAAACAATGAGAGACCCCCTAACAGCGCTAGTGTTGCGTGAGAAGCCCTTGGGCTCCGGGGTGGCCAAGAAAGCACACAGGCTCTGGAGACAGGCATGTTCGGATTCCAATCCCACCACTGTACTTCCTAGCTGGGTGTTCTCGTATGAGTGACTAAGTCTCTCCAAGCCTCAGTTGCCTTCTGTGTAAAATGGGTAGGTCTATATTAGCCACCTAGATTTATATGTATGACACAGAAAGAGGTCCATGATCTATTTGCCCTGAGTGAAAATAGTTTGTCTCCTATTTTCCACGAGTGCAAATATGGTTGTACATATCCTACAAACCATATATACCTAAGTACATACATACACGCTTCAAAATTCCTCATGGCTACAGGGCATAGTGGGGATACTGCTGGAAAACACTGGGTAAGGAGTTTCTATACTCTAAATATTCCCTTATTATTTTAATACTTTACTATGGTACTTTTATGGTTTTTATATAAAGCCATTTTAATTTTGGAAAACATATAAAGACAGCTCCTCAGCAGAGTCACTGTGAGAATTAGAGATGAAGCGTGTCCAACACCTGGCACTTCCTGAGTCTCCAATGAACAGTGCCTAACCCTACGGCAGACTTCTGGAAAGCCCTGGGCATGGAGGCACGCAGGGGAGGGGCTACGACGCACTCACTTGTCTGCAATTTAAGCAGGCTGAACTCCTCAGGATATTTATGCTTTGGGACGTCAGGCAATGAGGTTTCAGAGGAGTGATCAGAATGTGAGGAGGAGGATTTCAGACCCAAATCTGCAGCCAGGCTGGAAAGGAAGCTGAAGGATTAGATTCTTCCATGTGCTTAAATTGGTAGTTAGAACCTGATTTTACATATTTTACACTAGAATTACCCTCCCTTATGACAACTAGGCCAGCCCCTCCATAAATGTCCACGACATATTATTTATTTGCTCACAATTTGAGGGGACCAACACATAGTCAAAAGATGCATCCTTAAAAACAGTGTGGTAGTTCCTCAAAAAGTTAAATATAGAATTACCGTATAACGCAGCAATTCCACTCCTAGCCATATACCCCCAAAGAATTGAAAACAGAGACTCAGATACTTGTAAACGAATGTTCTTTGCAGCATTACTCACATTAGCCACACAGTGGAAACCACCCAAATGTTCACTGACCGATGAATGGATAAGCAAAAGGTGACATTGACATACAATGGAATATTATTTGGTCATAAAAAGGAATGGAGTTCTGATACATGCTACAACATGAATGAAACTTGAAACATTGTGTTAAGTGAAATAAGCCAAACACAAAAGGACAAATATGTATGACCCCATTTATATGAAATATCTTAATACATAAATTCAGAGAGACAGAAAGTAGATCAGGTTAGTAGATTAGGGCAGATGAGAGTACCAGGGTCTGGGGAGAGGGGAGAATGGGGAATCACTGCTTAATGGGTACAGCACTTCTGTTTGGACTGATGAAAATGTTTTAAAAGTAGCAATGATGGGGGCGTCTGGGTGGCTCAGTTGTTAAGCGTCTGCCTTTGGCTCAGGTCATGATATTGGGGTCCTGGGACTGAGCCCTGCATCAGGCTCCCTGCTCAGTGGGGAGCTTTCTTCTCCCTCTCCCTCTGCCGCTACCCCTGCTTGTGCTTGCTCTCTCCCTCTCTCTCTCTCTCTCTGTGTCAAATAAATAAATAAAATCCTTAAAAAAATAGCAGTGATGTTGAAAGGTAATTAATGCCAATGGGTAAAAACGGATAAAATGGCAAATGTTATGTTATGTATAATTCACCCCAATTTTTAAAAAAAAAGGAATGATGTACTGATACAATGTTGCAACATAGATGAAACTTGAAAACGTTAACACTGAATGAAAAAAGCCAGACACCAAAGACTACATATTCCATTTATATGAAATGTCCAGAATAGGCAAATCTATAGAGGTAAGAAGTACATCAGTGGTTGTCTAGGGCTGGGGGCGGGAATAGGGGACATGGTGGGAGTGACTGCTCAAAAGGATGGGCTTCTCTTTGGGGGTGATGAAAATGTTCTAAAATTGATTGTGGTGATGGTTTAGTAAATACACTAAAAATCATTGAATTGCACACTTTATAAGGGTGAAGATTTTTTTTCTTATGCACATAAAAAAATAACATCAAAATGTTAACATTAAGGTGTGCCTGGCTGGCTCAATCTGTAGAATGTGTGACTCTTGATCTCGGGGTTGTAAATTTGAGCCCCACGTTGAGTGTAGAGATTACTTAAAAATAAATCTTTAAAAAATACGTTAATATTGATTCTCTAAGATGTGGAATTACCATGATTTTTATTTTTAATATTGTTTTTATACTTTCAAAATTTCTACAGTGTACTTACTTTCCTTATAACAAAAGCCATTAGAAAAAAAAGGCTTCCAAAACTTTTTACTGTAAAGAAATCTAAACAGAGAAAAGCACTCACAACAAATACAGTTTTACAAATAATTATAAAGCCAGCCCTCCCCTCCCACTCTTCCCCCAACCCACTGCCCTCCAGAAACCATTTGTATGTCTCCATCCACGAGAATTAACCACTATCCTGACTCTAACTCTTACGGTAATCATGGCCTTGCTTTTCTTCAAGATTTACCATTTAAGTATGTATTCCAAAAAATATAGCTTAGTTTCACTTGCTTTTGAACTTCATAATAACAGGCATGCCTACAACACATATTGTGTGTCATGGAGTCTTCCAATCACTTTCCATGTATTAACTCATTTAAACCTCAAAACAATTCTATGAAGTATTATCTCCATTTTACAGATGAGAAAACTGAGGCCCAGGAAGGTAAAGTAATTTTCCCAAGTTCACAGAGATGAACTTGGCAGAGCTGGGGTTTGAACCTAGACAGCCTGGCTCCAGAATCCATGCTCTTGCCAAACATGTCATGCTACCTCTCAGAATGTTGGCTTCCTGGTCAGAATTTACCCCAATAGTTATGGTCTTTATTGCACCCTTACTTACTCTAGGTGAACAGACACTTTGCAGAGGCCTGGAGGCTCACTCACACTAAGACATATTTCAACAGAAGATGAGGGGCCGATCTTTCTGCCAGAGGATGTCGTGTTAGCAAAGCATCCCTTAGATTCCAGAAAATCACTGTGTTTAGTGCCCGTAACACATCACCATTGGATTTCATTAATGAAATGAAATACCTACCCCTCCGTCTTGTTCCCTAGATTATATAAATTACTTTTTTAAAACTAACATTTATTGAGCATGTATTGTGTATTGGGGATTATGTTAACATTTTACATGCATTATCCCACTTAATTCCCATAACACCCACAGACATAATAAGTATTGCTTATCCTTCCATTTTACTGATGAGGGAACTAAGGCACAGATGGTTAAGCAACTTGCCTGAGATCACACAGAAAATAAACACCTGGGTCCAGATTTGATAGCAGCTCTTGTGACACTAAAGTCAAAAATCCTAACCATATGCTAGACTACTTGACCCTCCAGAGTTTACCTACTTGGAATTAAGTGGAAGAGATAACATCTGAATCAAGCTATATATCTGTACATTGTATTGAGCACCTCAAGACAATCTTCCAAAGGATTTATTCATGGAAAGACTGATGAATAATCCAAAGACCTGCCATCAGAAACTTCCATGGGTTCCCCTCACACTGGAGCATTGTCATTAATTTATATACACGTCTTCCCCACCAGATTTGTTATTATTTCTTATTCATCTTCGCAGCACCCAGAAAAGTGCCTGACACAAAGTAGATGCTCAACAAATATTTGAGCAAATAAGTGAAAAAGAATTATAACTCCCCAAACTCCCCAAGTAAGGGAGTCCTGAAAGCAGGGGCTCTCAGAAACAGAATCATAACCATTATCTTCACTCTGCTAAAGAATTACTGATTCATGTTCTTTCATCATTCTACAGAGCTGTGTGCCTGCCCAGTCACTAAAAAAAAAAAAAGTCAGAGGAATGGATATTGCTTTCTTTATGCATAACTTTATAGCGCATGGAAGCTCAATAGACACAATGTAACCTCTAGTTACAAGAAAATTACAAAAAATAGGAGTCAGACTTCTGTGACTGGAGTTCAATTCCCTCCCCTCCCAGGATCCCCATTCTTGGGTTTTTCAGGGTATGGCATAAGGACTGTCTGCATCAGAATTACTAAGAACTCTGTTAAAAATACAGATTCTTGGGTGCCTGGGTGGCTCAGTTGGTTAAGCGACTGCCTTCGGCTCAGGTCATGATCCTGGAGTCCCGGGATCGAGTCCCGCAT